AGCTGCTGCTGCTGCTGCAAGCTTCCTCTGCGAACCTCTCTTCTCCTCCTCACACCCCCTTCCATCCAACGAGAGGCTCCTGTTTTATTTACTTTTTTTTCCACTAAACCATGAGTGGTTCCACATTAAGTGTTCCCAAAGATAGCTTTGCTTTTGCGAGGGTAAAGAACAGAAAAGTTCTCCCTAATGCACAGCTGAGCCGGAGCTGCTGCGGAGGTTTCTAATCCTTATCTAATCCCTGTGAGAGATGAATGAAACAATCAATCGTGGCCTCTCCTCAAGTGCTCCCTCACCTTGCTATTGAGGGGTGCTTTAGCCTGGACCCATGCTATGCCTCCCCATCCACCAGTGTCCAGGCTAGTAAAAGCCCCATGGCAAGGTTTTGGCCCTTACCAAAACCTGGTTGGTGACTTGGCCAGATGCAGAACAGGGCATCCAGCATCACTTCAACCCCTCCTCACCTGTGACCCACTGAGGCAGCAGACCCTCTGGGACAGGCCCTCACTGAGCAACTGGATATGTTTCCCAGCATAGGTAGCCAAAATAGTCACTGTGGCATTAGCCATGGCATGGGTAGGCCTGTGGAGCTGATGGTGTGCATATTGCTAATGTGCTCTTTGGAAAACGTTTCCTCAGGTTGTAATCATTCCTGGCTGTCAGTCTCTGGGTCTGGCATGCTGTAGAAGTAACAAAAATGTAGCTTTCCCATGTTTTTAATGTGAAACTGTGTTGAGAAAAGAAATTTGGTAGAATTTAATGTTTCTAAAGGATAAAGGAGGTGGCCTTGGAGAAGTGGATGTGCTGTTTCGCAGAAAGCCTTGGCGCATCGGTCATTCATGTTAAACCTGAGCATGGTAGGCAAGGGGCTGTGTGAGAGAGGAGCTGAATGGGGCAAAGCTCTTATTTTTTAGGCACATGTGAAAAATTGCAGTTTGAAGTAGCCATACTGCTACAGCAAATACTTTTTTACATAAAAGCCATTCTATAATTTTCAGAAAATTTAGAAGAAAATTGATGTGACTACTTTTTTCCCCCCTCTGAATTCCTGCTCTTTATTAGTAGCTTCATGAAAGCAATGGTTTGTCTTGTGACCACTCAAAACATCTGTGTATTTACAAACATTGGTCTGGTCCTGAAATACCCTAAAGCTGAGCCTTATCTTATGCAAAAAGTTGTACTGGAATCAACAGGGAACAGTTACATGACTTAAGAACTGCTAACAGCAATTATGGCTTCCTGGCTTCCCCCTACAAAGCGAATGTTTCTCCAGGATGCTTAGTACCAAAATTAAACCCCATGATTCGAGAGAGATTTGTTTTAGCAAATACTTTTAATTTCTTCAATGTCTGTAGCAGCAACCTACTTCTTAGCAACCTTAGATGTATTTTACTCCTTCGGAAGCTCCATTCAATTATTTGTTGACTCAAAGGTGAGAATGGCCTGGGGTTTAGTGACTTTTTTAATATTTTTTTTTGTGACTTTGAAAATCTGTTGTTCAGAAGCAACTTTGTTTCATTATCCCTTTACCATCCACCTCTCTTCAGCAGCTGAACCTTCCTGCTGTTCTCTATGACTCTTTTAGGTAAAAACTAGGATGTGCTTTGTAAAGATACAGATGTTGAGTTCACCATCTCTGATTAAGATACAGAAAATCCATGCATTAAGATTTGTAAGTCACCTAAATTGCAGAGTAATATTTTTCAGAATGGAGTTTAAAGGGTTGATGTTAGAGAGACATTCTTGAAAAAAGCAGAAACTCAATAGTTACCCTAAGTCCTCTATCAGTTTTAATGATTCTCATCAGACCCCTCTAACTGTAGTGCTTGAGTTTCCTCATTAATATCCTTGAATTCCAAAGTAATACTGTGTTTCTTGCCACTTATTATAACCACCTGGAAGGCAAAGGGCACCAGTATTCAATTAAAAGTGCATAACAACGAATGAAGCATTCTTAACTTCATGCTATATGTACTTGCATAAACAGAAAGACATGAGAGACAGTATTTTCTGCCTGAAAGTCTTTCAGATCTTGTGTGTCTCGTATGTTAGCTGTGAAAGTTGCAAACAGCAGACTGTCGGAGGGTTTTGGTTGTTCATCTCAGTTCCTGATTTTTTTCTTTCTTTTTTTTTTTGTTTCATTTTCCTTGTTTAATCAAATTAGAAGTTTTGGAAGAACTGCCAGAAATGAGTGGGAAAACAGCACGGCGTTTCTTCTTCAATTTAACTTCCATCCCTAATGAGGAGTCTATCACCTCAGCTGAACTCCAGATTTTTCGGAAACAGGTGCACGGAGCCTTTGAGAACAACAGCAGCTACCATCACCGTATTAATATTTATGAAATTATAAAGCCAGCCACAGCCACCTCTAAGGACCCTGTCACAAGGCTTTTGGACACCAGGTTGGTGCATCATAATGCAAGTAAATGGGAAAGTTTTGATGTAACGCCAGCTGTTTTGAGGTGGATTGCACACGGACATCCTAATCATGGGTTTGTGGTAGAGGTGGTTCACTTGGACAAAGAGAACAGTGCCTCCAAGAGGCACGTTAGGATTAGCAGGTCTTTACATCAGGATGAAGATAGCTGGTCTCAGCTCAGGCCGTTGTTAGTAACGTTTGGGCATGATGGCAAGGGACACCCGCTTCATAAAAGAGAAAAGCGTCAAGCAAAACACAAACAGCGTAAACGCCACAAATACAGTTGCAAAAGGCATCCGTTATATGTGGACTTCAATGATGTGGGGTGGAATGACTGGATTGTTGCCCCACCGGGGTATAGTGCCTTTTACTGCCACGGGGAATGTCCTTTTCCACTGGCAGATCATCTAAACTCAACAAACCATGCCATTGTTCAGACTTTGGTCAATTCAGTGAATTCCAAAATCCCCAAGGCTTGCTGTGTGCCGACAGAACTGAGTGCTATTTCCATGCTCTACCTTGACGAGAATGAAAAAGTTGTATTAAAGAACTATCAAGATATGGTTGTGGAGGGTTGTGGGTGCCGCTAACACAGCAAATATATTAGACAAATACAGAAAGAAAAAGAAAAGCTGACACTTTAATATTTCCCAATGAAGACTTTATTTATGTAATGAAATGGAAAGAAAAAAAACACAACTATTTTGAAAATATATTTATGTCTACAAAAAAGTTGGGAAAACAAATATTTTAATCAGAGAAATATTCCTTTAAAGATTTTAAATGTATTTTAGTTGTACATTTTATATGGGTTTAACCCCAGCACATGAAGTATAATGGTCAGATTCTTATTTTGTATTTATTTGCTATTATAACCACTTTTTAGAAGAATAGCTAATTTGTATTTATATGTAATCATAAAGAAAAAAATATAGGGTTTGTACATAATTTTCCAAAATTGTAGCTGCTTCTATTGTGTGTATTTAAGTTGAAAAGAATACGTGGAAGGTTACTATGGCAAAGTGCATAGCACATTTGCTTTCTGCTGTGCTACTGTTAAGGTCACAAGTTCAAGTCCAGAAAAAAGTGGATAATCCACTCTGCTGACTTTCAAGATTATTATATTGTACAATTCTCAGGAATGCTGCAGGGTGGGCTGTCCAATCCATGAGAACTGGCATCCTCTTTAGGTGGAACATTTGGATAAGAACCAGACATTGCTGATCTAGTATAAATACTGCTATTCCCAACTAATTTGAAGTATGAATATAAGAAGGGCTGATAGAAATCCTACGGGAGATGGGAGTGGGGGAAGGCTGAATCCTTTCTATACCTACAGAAAAGTGAATGTTTGATGTCTCCTTTAAAAGTCCTTCCTTTAAAAGTCCTGGCCAAATATAAAATAATAAAAACTAAAATGTAATCTTTTTTTTTGTGATTATGTACACTAAAGAGGAATATTTATCTTATTTGTACCAGCCCTTATCTTTAACAGTTGGAAAAGCTTGACGTACTTCCTCACCCCAGATGAGAGTCACTACTGTGGAGTGTTATAGTGAAATTAATCTTCAATTTTTGCCTTACAAAAGCTGTTTTCGTATGCAGCCTCCTACCTAACCTCAGCTGATGGTTTTGCTGTTTTGCAGATTAGCTTGTCTTCCTTTCCAGGGTTTTGTGTTTGAAAGCTTTTTTTTTCCCTCTCCACCCAAATGTTTAAATCTATTTCAGATAATAAATTGTAGAACTCTGATATTTCTTTCTGAAAAGTCCACTGTGTAAGAAAAAATTGGTTCACTTGTGCAGTCATCACAAGGATAACTTGGGCTTACGTCTTCTTACTTTGTAAATCCTTCATATAAGGGGCAAAAGTGTCATTTGCAGTTGGCAAACACTGCTTTAAAGCTAATACTGTTCCTGTTGTAGGTTAAAAAGACTGGTATGGCAGTTAGGTTATTCGCTGTAGAACCTGGGGTGGGAGAGCACACAGAGGCTGGGTTGCTTGTTATGTGAAAGCTGTGCTAAAATAGCAGAGCAGGAAAATAGCTTAAACTGGCTTCTTGGTGATCCACTGCAAAGGCTACTGAAGCTGGGAACAGAATGAAATGGTGTTAGGCTGCTAGTGTTAAGTACCTGCCTGTTTCAGGAGCTCTCTGCTGTATTAGGTGGATATATAATGACTCTATGCTGATACTTCCAGAGATTTCAGAACCCCCTTGCACTCTGTCATGGGTCCATTTCTGGATTTGGTGAACTGGGGCAGCACTTCCTAAAACCATGTGGATGGTTGTCCTGTTAGAGACCTCTAAGTTAACTCTGGGAATCTCCGCTTTGACCCTCCTACTAGCCCAACTTTTTATTGATACAAACCTCCTTCTCATGGTCCTCATGAAACTCTTTTTTTACCAGGATCATCTGGGTTACAGTGAAGGTACTAAATATGTTTGTTAATCAGAAAGGCCAACTTGATGATGTCTTACAGGTCGTCTTATAGAACAGTTTGCTATTGCTAGTCATCACAGAAAACAAGGCGTACAGAGGATAGGAGAGGAAAACTAATTCCCTGTTGGTTGCTTCCATTTTTCTCTTGTGAGCTTAAAATATCTTAGGCTAGCTATAAGTTTCTGTAGAGAGAAAAACATACATAATTCTTTGTACCGGATGTAGTTTTAATAGTTAGTAGAGGACAATCCACCACTCTGCAGTTTGCTTTTGCTTATTTTTGAGGGGTAGCTGATGTTACTGGTCATACTGATACTACATAGCCTGCGAGTTTGCTGGGTGGACAACCTCAATCTGCTTTTTCAAAATACCAGTGCTGTTTTGTTGGCTAATGCTTTCAGGGGGTAAGTGTCATATGTGCAGAAGTTTAGTTTGCCTTTTGCTTGTTGCCAACTTTACTGGTGATGAGTGAGTTTATGGCTGTTGCTTTAGGAAGGTTGTCAGTCGCAGGATGTGTCACAGTGAAGGTTCTTCAAGAATTCATTGGCTGTTTGCAGCGCATGATTGTGCTAGTCAAATGCAAGCAGCGCTAGCGGGCTCTGTAACCTGAGCTTGCAAAATCTGGACATGAAGTGCTTAAAAATTGAAGGTTGCACCATTTCTGTGAGCAAGAAATGTATGATCCCAAACTTGCTGAAACCGGTAAAGACTCTGTGGCCCTTCTAACCATATCCTGAACTCCAGTGTTTCAAGGCTTAAGATTCACAGCTTCTAGCCCTTCATGTGTAACTAGATTGAGGGAGGCTTTTTATGGAGTGGTGACTGCTTTACTTCTCCTCTAAGGCATGAGAAATGCCTTACAAAAATCAACACGTTGATGCTAATCTTGTTACAAAAAATTGGCTAGGGCGCTTGTCCATGCATGAGCAGAAGCTGGCTCATGGCGTGATGTCACATTCCTTGTAAAGGCAAACCTCCTGTTGCTTGACAAAGAAGTGCATCCTTAGTAAAATACACTGGGAGACCAATGTATAATTGTAAATCTATTAAGCATTTCTATACCTGCTTAGTGTTAGTCACAGAATCATTAGTTCCACACTGGTTTTGAAGAGGAAATATGCAAGTGTGAAGCTCAGCGTGTCAGTAAATTTCTGCACAATTGGTTTCCTAATGTATCTTTAAATACTTAACCTCTCTCTTTAGGTTGGAGGTGTGAGAGTGCTCACAGAGTAGTTTGGTTAGGATTTAGAAAAGAAAAGAAACAAAACAGACTTTCATACGTGAGTGGTAGAAAACTCTCCTAGAGATCAGTTGGGTTCCTGAACTCTGCCAAATAGGGTTGATGATCAGACAGTCCTTCTGAAATGTTTGGGCTTTCTGATATTTTCAAAGTCGTAATGACTGCTAAATAATCCTAAATACTAAGGGCACACTGTTACCACAGTACTCTAGTACTTATTTTAGTTCTTTAGTACTTGATTAGTGTTATAGTACTTTATAAGAAGGGGGGGGGAAGCTAATTTCTTAAGAGGAGGAAAAAGCAGAAGATCTGGAAGGCAAAACTGCCTTTGTTACCCTATAGCCTGTTTCTCCTAAACATATTGCTTCTAGGCACTTATATAATCTATATAGGCAGAGATTGTGATAGATAATGTCACCCTTTGTGCATTTCAGATAAGCATCTCTCTAAACACAAATGTGATCAGCATCTCCCCTTGTCCTTTTGAGACTCAGTAACAGCTTTGTCGAGTGGCTTGATAATTTTTGCGCAAAATTCAGTTGGACTTCTGTGGTCAGCAACATGTAAAAATGACGTGGGAAGATCTTCAGTTGAGGTAAGCTCTCCCGAGAGCATTGGCCATTTTTACCGAGCAGGATCTGTTCTACTGCATTCATCTGGGCTCATCACAATCGAGCAGTGAGATGCTTCCTGCTCAGATGATAATTGGGTTTGAGTGTCCACAGCCTCTCACCTGCTTTCTCCCTTGCCAGGCAGTACGAAGTCTCACCTGTACAATCAGTACTGATGAGATTTGGAGAGGGACATGACTTACCGTACTCTCAGCTTTGAAGAAGGAGCTCATCTGGACTGCATTTATACTAGACCCACTTTGCTACACTATTAGAAGAGGATAATTATTGAACTATTTTATTGTACAGCTATTTCTAAATTGTTGATTTTTATTTTTTTTTTGGGGGAGGGGGTGTTTATTGATTTCAGGAGGCAGCTAATTGCCATATGGCAGCTTGATGTTAATGTTTTATGAAGATCAGGAAACAAAAGTTTATGAAACGCTTTTGTATAGTAAGTGCAGTTTTTCAAGAACTGTTTTATACTTCCTGACAGTGCAGGTCTGGCTTAGTGGTTTGTTTTTATTGCTTAAGAGTGTAAACCTTTCTTTAGCTGATGTGTGGAAATTATATCCTCATCCCACATTACGCATTTCTCATTGCTCATTACTCATTCCCTGCTTTCATTTCTGCCATCTGTAATCAGAGCTTTACTGTTTTAACTGCATGCAAAATGCTCCTATCCTTTGCACAGTAAGACACTTCCTTAGCACTCATCCACCCTTTCAAATAAAAAAAAGGGAGTGGGGGCAGGGAAGAGGGGGGAAAAAAGCAGGGGGAGTGGATGAAAAACCAAGAAAAACCAACTCTGTCTATATTGTTTTTCCTCTGTTTTGGGTGGAGTCTGTCTTAGATTCTGGTTGCTAGATGGTCTCTGTAGTAACAAGCAGAGAAAAATCCAAGACTGAAAAGGCACTTTTAAAGGTGCCATATCTTGCCTGAAGTATTATTTATCTAATTCTGGATATGGAATGTTTCTCTTCTCCTTTATATTAAGGCTACCCCTATTGGTAGCACAAACTGCTGCTATGAGAACTTGATTTGTTGTGTTCTTACAACACGAGAACCACAAATCTTGTTCTCAGTTGACTTAAGCTGCTCAAAATAATGATTAAAAGCCAAAGACATTAAAATGTATTTTTACAGACGTTATAAATGGTTGTTACAGGCACAAACCACCTTGTTTGTTAGTTACATAGAAAGGAAAAAAGAAGCTAGGTTCAGAAGGACACTTGGATTTTTACATATTATTGCTGTAAGGAAGGTGTTGGATAAAAGTGGCAATCTTATTTTGTTAGACTACTATGTACAAGGAAAGAGTTCTAGCTCCATCAGAATATAACCTTACTCTGCTGTCCTCCAGATTTTTTGTTTATTTCTCCCAAGAGATTTTGCGGGTGGAACCATTGGTGTACATTCACTACATTTGCCTTACTTGGGCACAAAAAGAATTAAATAATTTTAAGATCACTTTTTTTTTCATGTCTCTCCAGTACTAATCCTTCATTACCTGTATTCCTGACAGCCTTGTCTGCAACAAGCAACAGTGGTTTCCTAAGGTGGAGTTTCCTCTCTTTTTGGAATCTAGCCACCTGTCAGTACCCTCTGGGATTTAGCAACCTTCTGTCTGCAAGCCTTGTGCAATGGTCACTTAAGAAAGTAGGTACACTGGTTTTGTCCCGGTTCTGTGTCCTTTACAGGGGCAAATTTATCCCTGCCTTCAGTAAGAATCTTAGTTTGGGAAGGGTCTGAGTGCTTGCACCCATTGTGGGCAGGAGGAGACAACTTGTAACATCAGGGACTCTGTTTGTAACTTGCCAGGAGTCTGAGGGCCAAAGCTCATTTGCATCTGTATTTACATAGTGCTGTGAAGGCACTCAGCTGTAGTACCTGCCTGGGCTTGTATTACCCTTGATAGACGAACAGAGGCTGAGAGTCGTTGGACTTCTCCAGAGGTAGGAAACGTGCAGTGGGTCAGCTCGGTTCTCAGGTCATAAGGCAGGGTAGC